CTAAGGTGTGTGTGTGTGTGTGTGCGCGCGCGCGCGCGTGCGTGCGTGCGCGCGCACAACCCATAGTTAGATTTCTTTCTGTCACCACATATTTGACCTCTTTTATCCCATTTACCTCTCCACTCCCTCCTACCCTGTGGTAACCACTAATATATTGTCCATGTCCATAAGTCGGATGAGGTGGATCTTAACAAGTAGAGATAGACTCTCAGGAAGAGGGCACAGCTGTAGTCAAAGCTTGGAGGCCTTTGGGTTGTCATATGCAAGTCACAGAGTCCTCAGGCCAGCCAGGCCAGTGTTTTCCAATCACTGGGCTGTATATTAAGAGATACTTGGGTCTCACCTCCAGAGAAGGTATCTGTACAGATGTAGATCATGGAGGCCTCAAGTGCTAGAAGTTTTGGCTTAATTTGGGTGGCAGTGGGGAGCCATTGAGCACTAGTGGGCAGCCATATCAATGAACTAATAGAGGTAACACTCTTAAAACAGTATCTGGCACTCAATACATGTTAATACCCAGGTTTTTGTTGTTGTTAGTAGTAGTATTACTGAACCAGTGGTGTGGGCCAGTGGATGTTGAAGAACTCATGGGTTACTCTGAGCCCTAACCAGAAGTGGCAATCACTGGGCCATGGCGTTAGCTTCTTGAGTCCAGACATGGTCTATGGGCTCTAAAGCCCAGCCCAGGACTTAGTGAGAGATCAATAAATGCTTGTGAGATCAGGCTGCGGAAGGGAGACTGGAGAGGAGGCCAGCTGGTGAAGAAGAGAGAGAATCATTGGGGCTCATTCATGGGCCTATGGGGAGCAAGGAGGTTTCAGGGCCAACTCCTAGGTGTCTGGCCTGGGTATTGCCATGTTGCCACTCAGGGAATGGGGACCAGATTGGGGAGCTGTAGAACTGGAGTCCAGGTGGCTGGGACACTGAGGGATGAGAGAGTCTGTAAGATTGAGGTGGTTGGTTTCAGGGGAGTGGTGGAGGTAAGGACCTCGAGTTTGGAAGGGGAGAGAACTCATCTAAGAACTTTCGCTAGAGCGGGGGAGAGAGGAGTGGTTGGCAGAGGGGACAAGTCAGGATTGCTTTCATCACCAGGATGAGAGGGATGTGAGCACTTTTGTGGGCTGATGTACAGAAGACAGAAGTAGATGCTAAGACTATGTATAAGCTCAAGCCAGGGGTGGACCCACGGCAAGATCACTGGGAGGCAGGAGGGACAGTAGGCCTAGAGCTGGGGACAGTTAGCCTTAGACAAGAGTTGAGACCCTCAGGGGCTCGGAAGGGGTGTAACTGGGGTCAATGGATGAGAAAGTCCAGATGCTTCTTCTGTTCCAGAGTGTTTTCTTGGCTTAGGGATGGGAACCCTGTGGACAGAGGGCGCTTCTGAATGTGGATTTGGGGTGACTGCCTGGAGAGTCCTGGGTTGAGAGTTAGGGCCATGGGAAGGCTGGGGGTTGCGTGTGAGGTAGAAGCCCCACCTTGCATGCCTTTGGCTGGTAGGGCTGGTGAAAGGGGCTTGGCCTGAGCTGTAGGAGGTTGCTCCTGGACATGAGGCTTATCCTGTGACCCACCAAACCTCAGCCTCCAGGAAAGAGGCTAAAAATAAGGCTGTGGTAAAGAAGGGAGGGGGTGTGTGGGCCCAAGCCAGGCTGGAGCCCAGAGGAAAATCTGAGATGACCGGCAGGGCGGCTGTGACACATGTTTCCTGTGCCAGGAGCCAGTGGGATCTCAATCACTTGTGGCCATAGCCCCTTCCAGTTCTATAAGAGGGAAAACAACCCAGAAAGGCTCAGACAGGGCCTGATCTAGGGCCTATGGCCTGCATGAGGCCCTGCTCCCTGGGAAGGTTCTCTCTGATTTTTTGCCTGGAGTTCAGGCCTTGGACCCAAGGTTGAGCTCCAGGGGTTGCTGGGGTGTGGACATCCAAAGCTTCCTGTATCTTAGGGTCTAGATTGCCTGAGAGTTCCCAGTGGCCCTGGATGCCCATCTGGACATGGAGAAATGTCCCCCCCACCACTTTCCAGGAGCTCTGTGCAGTAGAAGAGGTCAGAGGAGGGTTCCTAGAGGCAGAGGCAAATGCTGTGCCTCTAAGTATGGGACGGGGATTGAGTCTAGTCAGGTGGGTAGAATGTGAATTGGGAGGAAATAAGAGTGTTTTGATTTGCTGTGCACACAAGCCGTCTTCATGATGACCATGTTTATATGGCTTCCTTCCCAGGAAGTGAGCCAACAGTTATCTCAGATTCATGCCTTCCATTTGGCTGTGGATAGGGACTCATTCTTCAGGGGCCCAGGGAGAGTTTTACCTCCATATTGCCTGCCAACTCCACCCATTCTAAATGGTCCTTGTTCTGGGTCCTGGGGGTGACTTGCCATGGTCCTAGCCCTCAAGAGGCTCATGGTCTAGAGTGGAGGATGAGGCGGACACTCACCCATCTGACTGTGCATCCACTTCACAGTTGCTGGCAGTGTGCTGGGCCCTGGGCTGGAAAACAAGAGTGAACCATGCAGAAGCAGTGTGGCAGAAGAATGAGCTTTGGTTTTGGCAATAGATCTGGTTTCAAATCTTACCTCTAACACCTTAAGTGCTGTATGACAAGTTATTTTGCTTCTCAGAGCCTCAGTTTCCTCATATGTAAAATGAGGGTGATAATCGCTGATACCAGCATAGGCAGCAGAGGTAGAAATACCATCTGAAGAGCTTTACATGGTACCTGGAACTTAGCAGAAACCAATAACTGTTGGCTCTTAGCTCTTGGCCACTGGGTCCAAGGAACTCATATCCATGTTCTTACGTCTCTTCCCTGTAGAACTAACTAAACCTAATGTGACAAGTGCTAAAACAAGATAGACAGGGGCAACTAACTTATTGAGGGTGGTGGGAGAGGTAGAAATCAGGGAAGACTTCCCAGAAGAGAAGGCACCTGAACTAGTCTTAAAGGAGTGGCAGGAATTAGCAGAGCCAACAAAATTGTGCCAGGCTAGAAAACATGTGTAATTGAGTGGTCATGAGTAGTTTTGGGTGGCTGGAGTACTGGGTGGAGGGGTGGTGTCCTGAGAAGTGAGGCTGGAGAGTAGGGTTGGAAGGGCCGAACCTATAGCCCTGTGGTCTGGTGGCGGGCCTAGATCCTCCCCTGAGGCAGTAGGGAGCCATAGTTGATGGCGACTCTGTGAGAGAGTGATGAGATCAGACCCACACATCAGGCGAACAGGTCCTGGCTCAGGCGTAGGAATGGACTGTGGAGTGGGAGGTGAGTGTGGGTAGCTCCCCAAGATCAGACCCAGTCGTGCCACCCACAGGCCCTGATGAAACTCTGGGCCTCTGAGGCCAAGTTGGGGCACTCTGGAGGTCCTACTTGGTGGCCCTGCCATCCGCAGGCTCAGGACTGGCCCCTGGCTCTGCCTTCAAGGCAAGGCCACAGCCTGCCTTGGTTATTAAGTCATTAACTGGGCCTCACACAGCCTCTTCATTATGGGTAATTATGGTAAATCCACTGTGGGCATTAACAGGGAGGAGGCCAGTTTCTCTTGGCTGTCAGGCTGCTAGGACAGCAGCAGGGTCTGACCTGCATCCCAGGAAATTGCTCAGCATCCCAACTCTGGATCTTGGGAGGGACAGTGATACTCTACTCTCTCCACTTCTACACCGTCAGCCACCAGATGGGATTTTCATATAGTGCTTGGAGATTCCACTTTTGCCTACTTTCCTGTTGTATGACTAAGAGTGTGGCTTAACTTCCCGTGCCTTGGTTTTCCTTATCTGTCCTGCGGCACAATAGTATCAGCTTCATAGGATTGTATGAGGATTAAACTAGCAAAGCACTTAATGCTCAATGATTCAAACCATTATCATTTCATCATTTCATCATCATTTCAAATGCCGACATCATCGTCATCATAAAGAGCTCTGAGAGACCCCTGAAAGCAGGGTCCAGTCCCTTCCTCTGTCCCCTGAATAGGGAACTCCTGATGCAGTCCCTGTCTCCTCCTCCTTTTTTCCCTTCTCAGTGCAGATGTGCAGTGGTCAGGGGGCTCTGACCTGTGGCCCAGCCTCCTGCTGTCCTCAGAGATAAGCCGAGGTGGGGGCCCTCGGGCCCTCAGGGCTGGAGGTTGTGCTTATTCAGGGCTCTGGTCAAGTGCTATAAGAGATGAGAGGGGCCGAGGAGCTTGCTGAATCCCATATAGCCATGGTTCTGTCTATCCACAGGTGGGAGTGGTTTCTGGTTGTTCTGGTTGACCCCTTCCTTGTCATGCAAAGCCCTAATGAGAGAGCAGAGGTGGCTGGGACTTGGGAGGAGGGATCCCCTTCCCCCTGGAAAGCTGTCCTGCAGCCCTGCCTGCTTCCCTCTGCATCTCAACTCCTGCACTGGAAAATTGGGGGTCCTGGTTATAATCTTGAGGACAGCTGGGTGAGCGTATACATGTATTTGTGTGTGTGTGCTCATGTGCTTGTGCACATGTGCTGGTGAGCAGGTATGAACATTGCCTGTGAGCCCCCTCAACCATCTCCCAGCCAGAGGGCTTCCCCTGCAGCTTTCAGTGGCTGCCTACCTGCTCTCTGGGCTTCAGACTTGGTGGTCTTCCTTGAGGACAGGGCGCATGTCTATTCCTCAGGTGCCAGTACACAGTCTGGGTTCGGGCCGCAGGTAGGCCAGAGGCCCAGGGTAGCAGATAGAAGGCTTGGCTGTTCCACTGAGCTGAGTAACCATGGAGGAACCTGGCCTGTCTGTGCCTTAGGTCCCTGCAGCAGCCAGGGAGGAGGTGAGATCCTACCCCTAGGGTGAGCACAGAAGGCCTAGTAGGGCAGGATAGAAATTTGGACTCCAACATCCCCAGTGGCCTGGCTAAACTGGGCAGGGTGGAATTATGTAGATGGGGCCAGGCTGGGCCCTGCAAAGTAGAAAGAGGGCTGGGCTGGGACTGGGGTCACCTAGGTGGGCTGGGGTAATGGGCGTGCCGGGTATCAGACGTCATCAGTAAGCATCATCTGTCTTTCCCTCCAGGAGTCCTCCTGGACATCCAGAAGCACTTTGGGGTCAAGGACCGAGGCGCTGGCTTGCTGCAGTCAGGTGAGGCCCACCCCCTTTCACGTCTCGGCATCTCAGGCCCCCTCCACCCAGGTGGGTCATTCCCTGCTGGGTCTCTTCCTGGTCCTGACTCACTGGAAAGAGCATAGACTTTGCATCCAAATCCCACTGTTGCCACTCACAAAAGGCAACCTTCTCCAGCCTCTGCTCTCCCTGTAAAACAAAACAAATCTCCCATAGTGCCCTGAGGGACTATGGGAGATATACCAGCGTGCAGGCCAAGGACTCAGTTCCTTGGAGGTTACCCTTCTTTTGGGTCTTGGGGCCTCATCAGGACCCAGGCATCCAGGTTCCATTCTGAGGCTGGTGAGGGAAAATCCTTAGATCAGTAACTTGGGCAATGTCAACAGAGCCTTGTCAACTCTGTTTCCATATCTTCTCCTTAACCCCAGGTCCTTCCACTGCCATCAACCTGGGAATCAACCTCTTGGTCAGCCCCAGACCTATTCCCAGACTCAGGGCAGGAGCCTGAGGAGCTGGGTCTTGGGCTAGGATGGGGCCTAAGTTTCTTGACCCTATCTCCCTGGAGGCCCCACCCTCCTGACTGGTGAGGAGGCAGGGCCCCAGACCCCTGGGCCAGAGCAGTGTGGCAGGTCATTAAGCAGTTATCCCAGCCTGTCTGGACCTCCATCCAGGGTCTATGTCTCCCTTGTCCCTTCCCTGTCAACTATATGGCCCCTGCAGACCTGAGCTCTTGGCTCCCTGGCCCTCCCACTAGCTGTGGCCATGCTGGCCGTGCCCTCAGCAGGCCCCTTAGACATGGGCAGAGACTCAGAGCCAGCACTGAGTCCTGGGCTGGTCCTGACTTGGCCCCAACCTTGCTCTGTGGCCTGCCTGGTCCCCTTGGTCCAGGAGTCTATCTGGCTGTGAGGCACAGTCAGATATGTGAGAAGAAGACCATGGCCTGTTTTCCAGTCTGTGAACCCCTTCCCCATTCTGAGCTCTCCTGGGAGGGAGGGGTAGAGTGAGCTGGCTCTGTCCAGGAACTTGCCTGACCTGTTTAGGTGGCATTCCAGTATGCACAATGCCAGGCCTCCACAATGAGCTGCCTGTGCTCATTTCTCAGATGGGGTCTCTGGGGCTCAGAGAGAGAGGACATAATAGTTTCAGGGCTCAGCCCTAATGTGTGAGAGTTGATGAAGCTAGGACTTGGGCAAGGCTGTATGGTCCAGCACCTCCTAAGTGTGGCTAGGTCCTTGCCATGTACATGTCATCTTCACCCGGGATGTGAGCCCAAATCCCTCCCCTGGTCCCGACCCCCTTGCTGGGCCTCCCTGGCTGGGCTAGAGCAAGTCAACCACCCTGGGGCCTGGGACGGGTCCCTCCAGCTGCACTCCCAGTGACTAGCTCTTAGAGCAGAGGAGAGAGAGTTCAAGCTGGATGGGAGCATGGAAGGGAGCGAGCTGCTGAGCTGATGAGGGAAAGGCAGAGAGCGCCTAGCCATCCAGTACCCTCCCTCTGTGGCCCCTGAGACATGGGGGACCAGCTGAGCCTCATCCTATCTTGGTCTTGGCCTTACTGACTGATGTGGAGTAAGGCTCTACCTCAGCCTTTTCCATTAACCTCCCACTGAGTGAGGTCAGGGCCAGTGCAGCTGCCCAGGGTGTGAGTGGGAGGGCTGTGAGGGTCATAGCACTGCCACAGTTGGCTGAGAGAAGTCATAGCAGTCTCTACTGATCCCTGTTGACCTGGCCAGAAGTGGACGAGTACCCCAAATACCCCAGGCATCATCGTGCTTGATTATTCCTCCTACAAGTTCTGTTTGGTCAACTTCACTTTCTAGATGAAGGAGCAGAGGTCAAGAGTGGAGAAATGACTTGCTTAAGGTCTCATGGTAAGAGAGTAGCAGGCCCGGAATTGGGACTCTGCGTGTGCTGTCCTGTTGGCTTGGGGAGGGGGCACAGATGGCCACTGGATTGGCGAGGCTTGTTCCAGGTGTCTGAGAGTCTGACATCTATCTCAGTGTTTTCAAGATGGATGCCTCTGGGCCATAATTAGAGTCCCAGCACTCTCAGAGATCCCCGAGTCCTTATTCCCTGGCTCTTACCCTCACCCTTCTACCTACCCCTGGCACAGCTGGGATGGTGTCCAAGAGTGTCCTCACGTCTTTGGCCATCTGAGCCAAGAAGCTAGGCGAGCTAGACCAAGATGTGACTCAGTGGGCACCCAGGCAAATCACCTAATTGGCCTGGGCCGCAGGCACCTGTCTCTTCCCCAGGCCCCGATAAGGTCGGAGCCAGGTGGAGGGCGCCAGCCAGGTGTTGATGCTTGCCTGGATCAAAGGGCCAGGGCTGAGAGCCAGGTTGTCTGCTTATTTCTGGGCACCAGGGGCTGCTAGGCCAGGAGACAGGGTGGGGGGTGGCTACGGGTTAGGCCTGGACCTGCCCCTGCTCTTTCCTCTTGGGACTAGAGCATGAGCACCGGCTTGGGAAGAGCCTACTTTCTATAGCCTCCTTGCAGATTGCAGCCAGCTCAGATCTGGCCCCTGAGTCTCCTGTAGCAGCCATAGCTCAGCCTCCGCAAAAGCCCAGAATTATAGCAGAATTATAGCTCTTGGGTCTTGCTGTTTTGGGAAATCAGTAGCTCCCATAGCCTACACTAAAGAGCCAGCTATATCTGAATCTACTGCTCAGCAGGCCCTGTGCTGGGCTCTGCCACAGACTCAGTCCTCGAATTCCCTCTGTTGATGGGAACAGAAAACATATCCAGTCCTCACCCAGGCATGGGGGATGGTGACCTGTGGGAGCCCTGGGGGAAATGGCAGTGAATGCACACCTAGCTCTGCTTGGTGGCTGGAGGAGGGAGCATTTGAGTGGGGCTTTGAAGGATGAGTTAGAGTTTATTCAGGGGAAAGGACTTCCAATCAGTTTGTCAGACTGAGAAGACGTGAGAAGCCCTCCTTCTCCCTCCATGCTGGATAAAATATGCCAAGAAACACTTAAATTTTATAGTTGAGCTTGAAATTTCCAGGTGCCAGAAGCAAAGATTTGAACTTAAAAACAAGAGCGGGATCTGGTATTGAAGCCAAATGATGCAGAGTGTTTGGGGACCAGTATTTGTCTTAGAAGCTAGTTACAGTATTTTTAATGTAAACATTTTTTTATGATAAAAAATTTTAAACATACATAAAAAGTAGAGAATCATATAATGAACCTTCATATAGCCATCACTCAGGTTCATCAAAGTATCACCAGTCTGACCTAGTTTCCAGGTTTGGAGGTTTCTTTGTTCTGAGGGTTGCGCGGTGCCAGCTTAGGTTCTAGTGTTGCATGGGTGACTTGGTTCCCACTCAGAGCCCAGGGCAAGACCCCTGATTTCAAGCTGTGCTCCTAGGCTGGAGGGCATTTTTTCCATCTGCAAAAGGATAGCTCCTTCCTGGTTACGGCTTTATGCAGAGAGCCTAGTCCAGCCCCTGCTTCGTACAGGTCCGAGACTTCCGCTCCCTTCCCCGTGTAGGCCTTATGTTTCCAGAGACCCCAGCAGAGGTAAATCCAAAACTGCTCCTCAGTGAAGCCTTTGTGAATCATGAGCCTGCATGGGACAC